GAGATAATAGAGAGTTAGGAATACCGGCTGATTAACAGTGATCTTCTAAGTCCACTGAGTGACGTGAACCGCACTTGCTGTTTCTGTTTGCTCCCAAGCACTGCATGTAAGTAATGTTAAGTACTGACTTATGTCAACACCACTGTTACAGTACAGCAAGTTACGGGCAATTTTCTTCTTTGCCTGCTCAGGGAAGCCATCACTTTGCTTATTGCTACAGCTGTAACCTTAGTTAACCTTCTGTGAAAATAGTTCTCACTTCAGATAGGGCACTTTCCCTCAAAATAGAAAATGCAAGACATCTCACAAATTTGGATGCACCAGAAGCCCTGTGTTTTAAGTGGACACTGCTCTGGAAAACAAGTACATATGGGATTGGAGGCAGCTCTTGTGGAGGAGAAAGAAAGGACAGAGAAATGAACACAAGCAGGAACATCTGGCACACTGAGCAGCCCCCGGATGCAGCTCTGGGAGACCCCAGGCACTGAGCTCTTCACTAGGGGCTATTTGCAAATACCTTGTTGCACAGCTCTCCCTGCACTCCAGAATTCCTGTACACAAACTGAGTTATGCCAAAGTTCTCTAATACCATCATTAATTTCTTCTCATTGGTTAAACAATCTATATGACCCTGAATTTTGAGTAGCCAAGCATCTCAAGAACACAGAAAGATAAGAAGAGGAAACTTCAGTGGCAAACTTAAACAAACAATTGTCTGGCAGACATATATATATATGTATGTATTTCCATATATTCATATGGATATGCAGCAATAGAAATCACATGTTAAAAGGGAATTAACCTTTGCCAGATATTTCTAGAGCAGTCTAGAGCCCTATCTGCACTAAGGAAATGTGTACCAGTACACTAAATGGACGTAACGACACCAGTGTAAAACACTGATGAAAATATAAAACACCAATATGATGGTCTATTATGTTAAATGTTGGAATAAATCTTAAGTGGTCTAAGCGTGCATAAAGGCAGAAAATGTGGCTTGCTAACAAGCTTTATTTCCTACTTCCTAGGAAATCAGTGTACAAATGGCTCCTGATTTCCACAGACTCCAGGCATTCATTTACCTGTGGTTTTACAATAGCTCATGCACAAAAATCTACGGTGTTCATATGTCCATGTGTGTCAACTACAGATGACATTACAGCACTCCTTGTTTTTTCTTCTGCCCTATCTGACATTCAGTTCTCAGTAGTCTGCACTGGAAAATATAGTCTGGATATCCGGCACAATTCTTCCACTCTGCTGCGGAGCGCATCCATAATACCAGAAGGCATCACGAGGGGCTCTACATCGGCAAATAGTGCCAATTCTACGGGCCACCACTCACATCATGCTTCAAAAGTAATTAATTTAATGCAGTAATATTGCCAGCACACATTTTCCCAAGCTTACATTAATTTATTTTTCTGGTGGAAAAATAAGTTGGGTTTTTTTTCATTTTCCTGCAATACTATTTCCTGCCGATTAGTCTTTTTGTAATCACACCACAAACTATCGTTCGTGACTCCCTCCATTCCCCACTGCACAGTCTCAGCTATTTTCCCCATGGGCAAAAGAAAACCACGTTGACACCTTCTGAGACAGCTTAATACCTACCTAGATAAGGAGAAAGAATGAAAAATAAAAGCTGTATCCTAAACTGCTAGTGGCACTCCTAATAGCGGGCTGAAACCAGTGGGTAAGAGTGCTGTGACTAGATAAAAAAAGACCAAATGCCTCTGCTCAGGAAGAACAGCGAAGCGGAGCCACTGTCGGCATCTGGCACGTTGCAGTGGCCCCACCACCCGACCCCTG